GGATGTAAGAAGTGAAAATGTATTTCAAAAGATTTCCTTTTCTCGTTATTAAGTAAATAAAATACAATACACTGAAGCTACATTATACAAGAGTGACATATTATGGTTTTTGACCAATTATTCATTTTATGTACACAAAATATTTTTCCTACTGATATTCAAATTTCAGTAACAAAAAAATTCACAACTGTTATAATATATTCAACATTAAAATGATATGATTAAAATTAAAGCTGAATGTTTTTGTGGGATATTTTTTTTGATAGCATTAACAATACATTCAGCATAGCGCATATGCTGAAATATTAATTATTTGCACCTTTACATTGCGACCATATATTAAGTAAATGTTTTATGAAACTTTTATATTAAATTTGTTTTAACGTAATTTTTGTTGTGTTGTTTTAATTTAAATTACAATATCCTAAAATATGTGACATTCCATCAAGAGATAACAATTATGCGCCACAGCATACAACATTACTTTCAATATTAGGCAAAATTAGAAACTCAAGACTCAAATTCAATTAAACGCAGACCATTACATTATACATTCTATAAATGCTCCATAAACTTTTGTACAGACTAGCATACTCAAGTTCTGGAGCTTTATTGGTTGAAATTTCATTACATTCGAGTTGCATCAACGTCCACTGATAGACTAAGATCATGCCTCTATTGAAATTCTATTCGTGTACTTAGGTACAACACACTAAAGAGAAAATCAAATGTTTCCTCTTTGAATTTTAAGAGAAGAGTGTTGAAGGCATTTGAAGTCATTGAAGTTTGTATTAGACTTTCACTTCAAATTCTCTTTCAGATCAATTCGCCGAAACAATGAAATCAAGTTTTCAGTATTCGAATTTAAATGATTAACTTTGGAACATTGTAATGTTCTTGATAACTATCTGTAAATGAAATAATTTTCTTCATAATAGTCATAAAAATTCGGATATAATCAATAGGATAAAGAATAATTATGTAAAAAGGAGAAACCATAAGGAATTTAAAGATAAGGCGATTATTCAATTTTGTAATATTGTTAAAAATTTAGGTGGAGGAAAAGCAGCCTTCAACTCCAGTTATTAGAATAATAACAAATTTATTAATGGATAAAGACATAGAAAAATGAATATACGAAGACAAATATACGTACACCCACAAACAAATATTATAAGAGATGATATACAATAACGGAAAACGAACTCGTTCATAACAAGCTTTACAATGCTCCAAAAACGGCTTTCTAGAACAGTTACACTGGCAGAACTCATAAATGAAGTACAGCAGTTAACTCACACTATGATCTTGGTTGATTCAACCTCTATCTCAAAGGTCTTTTATATAATCTCGGAAATTTCCAGAAAGGTCTATTCCAGAGATTTTCCGATGATTCCGTGACGATATCATGAATTTCACCAAATGTGTTACCAAAGATGATAAAGTTACTAATTTGGTAACCCTCATTCAATCTTTTAGGGTTGCCGTAATCTTATTTTCTATGTTCATACTGGGAAGCGAATTTTGCCTATAAAACTTAATTTTCCTACAGGGAGAATGCCACTGCGAGGAAAACAACATGCACGGCGTATATTAAGATAATAAAATTCCTTCCAATACCTGATTGGTTATCTCAAAGAAATAAACTGGTTATCATGAGTAGTGATCTCTGCTAAAAGGTACATGACTTTTTAAGCCTGCTTGGTCTCAAATATATAATAAATAATGTTATTATTATTATTCTGCCACAAATATAAGAATTTCATAAGATGAAATTTGAAATAATCGTCAGTTTTAAAGTTTTCTAAATTCAAGACAATTATTTATATTATTTCCAACTATCCCATCACTAAACATAGCAGAAACTCAATTTAACAAAATACGAAGGAATCACTTCACAAAAACTGGTGGGAAAAAATTGAATTTTTAATTTTCCTGGAAAATAAATTTTAATTCCTTCTGCTTCTAATAAAGTTTTAATTTTTACTCTAAATAAACTAGAAATATTTTAGCCATCCAAACTATGCTACTGGTATGCATAACTTAAAAACAAAAGTGTTTAATTTAAACTGCAGTCTTTCAAAACTGTAAATTAAGAGACAAAAAGATTATTTTTGATAATTCTACTATCTTATAATTTTGTACTTTTGCACACAAATTAATACTATCTAACTAAATAATTTACTTTGAGATTTTGACAAAGGAGTTATTTTAAAAAATTGTACGTTTTAAAACGTACATGGATTTTTATTATTTGGAAACTTTTTTTTATACCTTACTCTACTTACAACTTTTTTTTAAAAAAGCTACTAAAAATGTGTGTGTGTTTAAAATTGTTTCCATTAAAATAATAATAATAATGCAATAAATATCCATTGAAAATTGGTCACCTTGCAACCGAAAAATTTTTTACAAATGTTCTATAAACTTAGTTCTTTTTAACATTTCAAAAAGATAGGGAAAATGCTAAAAAAATAATAATAATACCCCCAGAACAACAATTAAACAATAGAATGATAACAATAACAATCAAAGACAGCCTTTCTTTATAATTTAATATTTAATGTTCTATGGACAACTGACTAGCAATGCATTAACCACATTGTCCATTGGACAGGCCAAACAAGTCGAGAAATGGCTTACCAACATAGAACCGAGACAAAGCAACAGGCATAAATAATCAAGAATTTTGGATCTTGAGTCAAAATTACTTCCTATCGAAACGTCTTCTATTATGGTAGAATACGCAACTAAGATTGCATTATTAGGTTGGTAAGGACATCACATAAGGCCAGTCACAGGTGATTACTACCTTGATGTTTATTAAGCTGGACAGCAAATATATTATGCAATCGATGTCATTTGACTAGATATGGGCTGTAACATGGGTACTTCCTGATACTGTCATTTGTTCAGGTAAAGCTTCCTAATGGAGTGGTCAGAAGATGTATATTATAGAGAAGACATGATGCAAAAATGGGTGAAATGTTTAAATCACTTAACCTATGTCGTTTCGCCTTATAGAAAAGAACTATAGTTCTTAGTACAAAGAAAGATTTAAGATGAGAATAATATTGTGAATTTATTTATTTAAATTAAATCTCGGTGAAGGTATTAGAAATAAAACTCTCGCAAGTAAAACAAATAAAAATAAATATTTCTGTAAGTAAAATAGTTGTAATGTTTTCAATTTAATCTAAATGTAGAACCATAATATTAGTTACAAAAATTATCCTCTCTAAAGAATAGTTTTTTAAGAAAATTTCATTAATTAAAAACCAAAAAACAAGAACATTCTCAATGTTATTTCAATTAAAAATTGGTAAACCAATGGATAACGCCTTAAATTCTTTATCACTCATTATTATAATTAAGATATGCATTATTTTTTAAGTTATATTCAACTCACATTTCAAAGAAGTATTAAATAGACAAACTATAACAATCATTCAAATGATATAAGATAATAATATAATTTTCTTTTGAGTAAAGATTAAAAAAAAATCCCTCATCATAAAATTTTCAGGACTATTAGACCTACAGACTTGGAATTTGCAAGCAAGTTTCTTTTGTTTAGTAAGAGATCTGCTAAGAATGGATTTTGGAAAAAATCCGCCCCCTATAAGAAAATCCCTATTTTTAACTATTAAATGTGTAGATGCACTAAGAGCAGGTTTTGCAAAAATCAAACCTCAAGGAGGGTTAGGAGAGGCTTTATGGATGAAAATTATTATAATGGCCCTTTAATGCTCTTTTTTTTTATCAATACAAGTAAAATTGACTAATCTTTGAAATTTTTTCTCTTTTTTTTTATTTACGTGTCAAATTGAAGTAAATTGCTGGTCTTCTCTCAGTACTATCATGGCTACTATAGCCATTCGAATACTAGTGTAAAATATAAGTTAATTTTTAATACAAAATTCTTGACATAAATCGCAATTACTTTAAGACTTTTTCCAAAAGAATGAAATAATAACACAAAAATTGTCCTTTATGCAGTGTTTCTGATTAGTATAACTTAATTTAAACGTAAAACCAATAAAATATTGAAGATAGAATTATATATATCAAAGAAATATTCAAAACTTTCTTGACTTTCTAAAACATGAAACTATTTTCGAAGTACGTAGTTGAATATGGAATTATTGAAAACACCTTTTTAACAATCTGCATACATTGCAAACATTTTTTCTTATATATATATATATATATATACTGCATAAAACTCAAAATTCATTCAGATTTCTTCAAGTTAGCTTTTCACAAATCTTAAATCTGTTCTAAATTTAGAAAAATGGAATATTTTGAGTTGTTTACATCAAACTGAGCAATCAATCGATCGTTTAACAAATTTATCACGAAATGAATTAACGGTGATGATGAGGGTACAGTTCTGGGGCATTATTGTTCCCACAATCCAGTTACTGCAACTGAATTTCCGTATCACCTACGAAGTGCAATTTCCGGTTAAGTGACGTCATAGGCCCATTGTTATATTGTCGTGATGTTCGCTTTCTTTTTCATAAAACATAAGCTTAGTGCTTTAGCATGAACGATTAGTTTATTTCAATGTAGAAGAAGTTGGAAGAAATGGATTTGTAGATATATTCATTTCATTTAAATATATCCGAAAAAATAATCGTTTCAGTAATAATAATCAGAATAAAATTCTTTGGATATTAGTCATTCAATTCCTACTATTAGTTCACACTTTCCCTATATATATATTTATATATATAGGGAATTTTCAATCGTTATTAAAATACTTTCTATTCATCCATTCAAGTTCAAATACATATTTTTAAACTGGTAGAGAATGACACTTGATGTTCATACAGTTTTTTCAAATTCAGTACAGTAA